CAAGTTAAGAAGTTTTAACGATCTTACGATAAAACGGTATAGCGTCACATTGAGAGCGTCACGTTTTGCCCTCAGGAGCTAGATTTACGAGGGAAGAAAAACATCAATGTTAATCATAAGCTAATGAGTGAATTCAACACGAAAATAGATTGATCGATATCCTTCAAAATTAAAGAAACAAGAAAAGCATCGCCTTTGCCTTAACACTTTTAATGTAAAAACTTAGTCGAAGCAGAATGCTGCATATGAAAACGAAAACAGAGGTGGCTAAAAAGTTGTTCATTAGCCCGCAGATGTTTGCAGGTGATTCTTGATAATACCGTGAGTTTTGCCGGAAAACTTAAAATTAAGTATTTTTTTCCTCGTTATCTCCTTTCGCTTAGATGCAAATACCAGATAGGTTTTGGAATCTATTTGAAAATCCTTTTTTATTTCTGGAAAAGTTAGTGGGTCAATAAAGTGAGATGTAGTGACAAACATTAGTCTCGTAATAAAAGTGTTAAAAAGTTTATTTGTACAGATAATGGACGGCTTAAATTTTGGACATATCTATGATGATTGGGTGGCAATTTGAAAATGTCTTTGAAAATCTCGGAGAATATTTGTAACAGCGTCGATCTCTCCTGGCTCTAAGGAAAAACGGATGGTTCACATCGAAAGCTTTGATAATTGCATAACACTATAAATGCCATGTTCCTAAATTATCATTTTTGTCATTCTCATTACCTTCTTGCTTTAAACTTTTTGTAAATTACGCATTTATAGGGGAGTTAAGGAGTTGACTGTTTATTATTATGAGCACCGTATACTACTCCAACACGCTATTTTTAGCCTCTTAAATTATGTACACCTTCAATCTTCCTGCAAATTATTATAAACTAAGAAAGAACTATATCTCGATCAGCATGGTCACGCGAGAATTGAGCTGTCACAGAAAAATACATTCGTTTAAGATAAAAGTTATATGTCATATCATCGGGAAAAGTAAATTAGGTGAAACGCTGTAATTGCGTGGTCACAACAAGTTACTAAAAAGCTATTTTGGCTTTGTGTTGTTTTTTCCAATTTTCTAAACAAGCCAAGTTTATCGTCAGAACTTTGCAAACGAAAGCAATAACGATGAAACTCTTTCTAATTACAAATAGTTCACATTGTCAGGATGATGTTGGCAATGAAAGTTACCCTACAAAGAGAAAAGTGGTAAATTGAAGGAAAATACTGCGTGATCTCTGCCTGCGACGTGATCCATTAATTAAAATTAGTGCAAACAGATGCTTTATAGTTCTATGTCCGTAAATTGTGTTCTCATTAAGGTAAGAACAATTTTTTTCGCGGAATTTATCTCACTCCTTCATAGAGTATTGCTTCTTTGGAAAAAAAAATTTACACTGGTAACAAAAACTCACTTTTCCATGAGTTTAAGCAGCTTTTCGAAGATGCTTCAAGGGAATTCCCCTCTTATCAACATATGGCTAAATGAGAAATGACCTATCGAAGCTTCGAGCCATGTACTGTCGTGAGCATAAACAGTTTTGTGGTAAAGGTTTGGGTAAAGGAGGCGCGAAACGTCACAGGAAAATCCTAAGAGACAACACTTAGGGTATAACCTAGCCGGCCATAGGACGTTTGGCAAGGAGAGTGGTGTGAATTTCATTTAAGGTCTCATTTATAAAGAAACACGCAGAATTCTCAAAGTTTCCTCGAAAACGTGATACACGACGCTGTGACATTCAGTGAACACGCCAAGTGCAAGACGGTGACCGCCATGGACGTTGTGTACGCGCTGAAACGACAAGGACGCACGCTGTACGGCTTTGGGGGCCTAAGAATGAAGAACTGACATGACGGAGAAACTTTACAGTTAGCAAGCGTGTGAAGGAAAGACTGAAATTTCCATGATAGCCTCAAGCAGGACTGCAAGCTCTTAATTATGTTTTAATTTGCATACATTATCACTTTTCTTGTTTGAAATTAAAACAATGTACAACGTCAATGCATCCATTATTTCCCCAAGTGATACCTGCTTAATTTCGTGTATCTGTGTAGTTGATGTTGCTTATTTTTTTTTGTAGCTGTAACAAGACTTGATGTTATACAAAGAATGCAAACAGAATTAAATTGCTTCTTTCGTTTTTACATTTGTTTGTAGTCCATGTTCAGTTTACCGTGACTCATCTGTATCTATGGGAGGACTAAGGCGAGGTTAGTGTGGTGTTCGCCTTTTTAGTGCAAATATGTAGCATGTAAACCTCAGGGAACCATGTTTAGAATACTCAAGCATAAATTTTAGAATAAAGCAGGCTCCACAAGCATGTCGAAAGAAAAACCAGTTTAATCCACACGGGCAATCGGAACAGTGGTTAACATCATAATTAGCGAATGAAAACCCGAAACAAGGAAAGGCGGATTGTAAAAAGCATCGAATAGCCTGAGTGATGCTTTTCGAGCCATTCAATCAAACGCTCCAAACGTCAGTTTTAGAAACTCTCCTCAGTGTGCAATTTACATTATCAACTCAGATAAAATCAAATTGTCTCGTAATACCCCCACCGAAGTCGCATCACAGTTGCTACGAAAACACACCCCCTTTCTTCATTTGCGGGCTAATACAATCTCGTACCCACATTTTACTGTAACAGAAATGTGAGTTACAACTGCTTGGCCGTAAAAGGGGCACCAGACTACCTACGAGCATACCTCTGCCCGTCGGAAGACTTGAGACGACATCGGGGAGAGGTATGCCGGGGGTCTGGCACCACTCGTGGACTTCTAACTGACTACCCTTTACTGGACTGAGAATTGAAAGAATTGGCTGCCATTGAACTGCCAATGAGGCAGGATCATAAAAATATTACGGAGGCTTTTGGGGGAA